TCTGACTCCACTGACCATAAGACTGGCCCCTTCCTGTCTTCAAGCCTAGGACTCCAATTCCATAGCCCTGAAAGAACTTTGTTTTACATCTCAGGCTTCCCAAACTCACACCCACCCTAACCCCTTCCCTTTAAACTGGGCTCACTAACTTCAGGAGTTCTCTCCTTCACCATGTTTGTGCATCCTCAGCTGGAGATTTGAGTCCTGCACCAGTGGGCAACACACAGAAAGCAGAGCTGAAGAGGTGGCCCACTGCTAGGCACAGAGCAGTAAGGACCAGCCAGCAGGGAAGATCCTGAAATGCACTGACCTGCTCAAGAAACAAATGAAGAAAAACATGTACCTCAGGTCTCAAAGAGACTGTAGGTACAAGTGAAGTATGTAGCTGCTGGTGCTACAGGCTTAGCTGCAGGACAGTCTGAATCTCTGCATTATTATTGGGAAGCTTCCTTGAACATTCTTCCTAAAATATAAGCTCATCAGAAAGAACAGATTCCTGCAAACAATTCCAGTGTAAAAAAAAAAAAAAAACCCAAAAAAAAACCCCAAAAACCTGTTAAAAATGCCTGAATGTCCTTAATAATGAAAAAAGCCTGATGGAGTTTGGGATAAATTATACTCATGTAGTACCATTCTCTCACACCAATAAGTTTCTGACAAGCGGTGCAGGCTCCCTATTACATAAGTAGAAGTGTCTCAGAGGAGGCCTTGATAACTCCTATGAGACAGACAGGAAGAAGTATGCAAAACATAACACGTTTCACTTTCAAAGGAAAATAACATTTCCTTCTGGACATTTTCAGTGTCATTAGCTTGAAGCAAAGCTAGGTACATGCCTAGCTGTCTGCCCGCAGCCAGTGTAGATGCAGGTATTTGTGTTCCATGGGCTGCAGAACTCTGTTGCAGTGATGGTAAGACTTACTTGCTGAACCAATTGGGGAATTTAGAGAAAAAGTTTTCTACAGCTAGATCCACAGAGGCTTTTTGAGCATGGTCAGCATATCTAAACCAACTGCAGGATTCCTGATGTGTTGGAAAGGGACTTTGTTGTTGTTTGTAATGCACTTATTTACTCAAGAAAGCTCAGTTCTGATTCAGCATCTGGTTCTCATTGAGGCTCAGCTTTTTTTAAACTGAGCTTTCCAGATGGGTTGACTGAAGCACAAGGAGGTCAAGAGACTTGTCTGAGGTCATACAGCAAGTCAGTGGCTCTGCTTGGACCTGAGCCCAGAACTGTTCAAGGCTACCACTCATTGGCTCTGAAAGAGACAATTTTATCCCCTGTGAAGTGATCTTATCTCCATGAAGAAGAAATATGATAAAAGCAGTCCCCTCAAAACTGCAGCCTGCTTAAAAAGAGTTATTTTATTTGGAAAAAGCTATAGCGTTCCAGTGCCTCTTTGGAGCCCATCAAACTGAAGGGGTGTGATACTGATATACAGTGTCACCCACCCCACCCCTGGATAACCCTGTGCTCCTCTGGGGCAGCTTTGCTGCTGCCGCCATTCCTGGTTGTGTACTCACATCCCATCTAACAACCCCTCATGTCATGGAACACACTCTCCATTCAGCACAGGTCAAAGCCCCTCCTCAAGGCAAGGAAACCCAAGTGCACTCAGGACCTGAAGCAGAGCACAGGCACTTATTGCCATAGCCTGGACATGTGGGGTATGGGAAGTACATCCCAGCCAACCAACCAGCAGGTCCCATAAGCTCAGCTCTGTTCTCCATAACCTCAGAGCACGCTCTTGAAGCTCAGCCACAGGCTGGGCTACAGCAGCAGTTCACTGACTCCATAGCAAAGAGACACTTGCTTCAAACTGAGGAGGAGATGGCAGGTACTGGCTTGGCTCTACCTTTGTTTTCCAGGGGTAGGGTGAAAAACATAAAACAGGGAAGTTTGCTAGAAGCTACACAACCTCAATCAAGTAAGAGACAATAAAGAACTCAAGTAGACATAGATGGGTCTCACATGTCATTCACAGAGCCCTTGCAATCTAGATCAACCTCTAGCAGTCTCTGCTACTTAGGAACACAGAGCATTGCTCAAGTCTTCTTACAAGAAATTCAGCATCTTAAAGAGATGAAAGACATGGAGTTCTAGGGAATGTTATTGCTCTAGCACTGTTCTAGGGATGAAATAGCCAGGTTTTAAATTACTGTTTTCTGTTTAACATATTAATAGGAAATGAAACTCTGAAAGTGATTTTCATGCCAAAAGCAAGCATAGGTGCGGCCAATTTTCTTTTTCTTACTAGATGCATACCCAAAAATCTTTTGTATAGCCAAGAACCACAGAATAAATACCATTTAGCTCCAGAAACCCAGAGAAGAGATAACAGTGACTCTCCAGGGCTCCAGTGTAGGATGGGGTTAGGCCATGCACGCAGCAGAGTCCAATGACAATTCAGTGATGTCAGCTTCAGCAGCAATTGCCTGCTCAGTTTCTCTCTCAGCCAGGGATGTACATTAACCAGCAGCCTTTGTGTCAACACAGCCTTGCTGCTGCAGCAGCAGAATGGGAGCCATACCTGAACTGCTGGAGAGTCTCACAGAAGTCAAGAGCCATAAGAAGGCAGCTCTTGAGCTAGCTGGATGCACCATTCCAATGCTAAAAGCTTTTCCTAACTTCCACTGAAAGGGCACACACATTTTCTTTTCACAGGTTCACAGATAAATGTTTTGTAGGCTTTGAAAACAGGCAGAGCTTGTTGAAAACCAAGCTTGCTCTCTCTCAGGACTTCACAAGACCACACTGGTGTGACTAACTTTGTGGTATTCTAAATCTGATTCAAGACACCACTCTGGAAAGTTGGTTTTGACCAAATGTTTGAGACTAGCTGAAATGGGGTTTTAAAATCAGGGGTTAGTTTCACAGCAAGATAAACGACAGCCCAGTTTTCCATGCCTCAGAGACTGCCCCTTCCAAACCACAGCACATTGTGAACCGCTCACAATGTCTCCAGGGGCAGACTGCCTGCTCCTTCAGCAACGGGCTGGGCAGAGTCATCGCACATAGGACAGAGGGGGTTCTCCACGGGGGATTCATGCCAAAAGCCAAAGGAAATCCTCCATGCAGGACTGGGAGGGAAGGGATTGGGCATGACAACAAAACACTCCACAGGGATCAGTGCTTTGGACACCAATATGTGGTTCAATACTCAGTTTCCCTGACAAACAAGAAAGAATCCCTTAGCAGATCCAAATGCCAAGGCCTATCCCAGGGTCAGGCTGTGGATAACCACCGGCTGAACTACTCTGTTCTCGGGTTAAGTTTTCGAGTTGGTTTGGGTTTTGGTATTTTTTTCCCTTCGTTTTGTTTTCAAATTTAAATGGCTGAAGGCCCCCTTTACAACTTGTTGCTGTTCCAGTTCAAACAAAGAGCGCGGAGCCCCGCCCCTGGCGGGCCCCGGGGGCCGGGCCGCGCCGCCCAGCCCGGCCGGACGCCTTTGTTTACTACGGCTCCGCACGCCGGGCGGCGCGACCCGACGGCCGAGCGGGGCCGGGGCCGGTGGGCGCTCCCGGACGCGTTTCCAAGGCACGGGCATCAGATAGGGACACTCCCCCCAGTGAAGGGGGTCAAGTTACAACCAGTTCCACCAGTTCAGTGCAGGGCTCCTCTGCCAAGTTGGTTAAACCTTCCCTTTCTTGTGAGACAGCCTGGCGAGAGAGCGGGGCCTGCAGCTAACGCTGGCGAAAAGGCGCCACCAGGGAAAACCCCATTCAACCACAAACAACACGTTAAAAACCTCGTGGTAGCTCTTTATTCCTGCAGTTTGCTAAATGATATTCATAGCCCCGTCTACATTTCTACAGGCTAATCTTCCTTTTCCTTCTTTAATCATTCACCTATTAGGAGATGAATAGTCACAGAATTTCCTCATCTCTCAGGTGACACAGAGAGGACCAAGCCTTTGCTAAGCCACAAACCACACTCTCTCATCAGGACAGAGATCATCACTTACCTTTGAGAAGGGCTGCAAATGATCCTACAGTTAACAGAGGACAAACTCACTTGAAGTAGGATAAATTTTTTGTCCCTTTCTGAAGTCAGCAAAATTTCTTCATATACAAGCAGATGCACACCCTCCTTGTTGGGTTTGCATAGAAGTGGCAAACTGCTGCCTACTGCCAAGCTTCTGCCACCTCTGACCATCTCTGTATGGGCTGAGATTTCCATTTTATCTCTACTCGAAGAGGAAGGAGAGCAAGGAAGAAAGAAAGAATCAAGGGTTCTGGGGGTAATGGTTATTTTGTTTCTTTGAACTGCAGTGTTTGGGTTTTGGTGGGTTTTTTTTGGTTTTTTGTTTGTTTGTCTTTTGGGGTTTTTTTCTTTTTGTTTTGTTTTTTAAGAAACCAAGAATCTGGAGTGCATTTTTCAGACCTGAAAGCATCTTACAGGTGTTTTTCGTGGTGTGGAAGTTAGTCACAAGTCTGAGACACTAGCTACAACTGTCTTACTAGTAGTAGCTGCTAGCAAGTCTAGTATAATCTAAATATTCTTTACAACATTACACAGAATTACTGTTAGACAACAAGGAGTGTCAGAACAGACTCTAGGCTTGTTATCACCAAGACAAGGAGCTGACAAAAGCCACTGATGGCTACATGTTCTACAGAAGAGAAGGTGGTGAGGAGAATGGAGAAAAGCAAAAGCTGTAATAAAAAGCAAGAGGAAGATCCCTGGAAAAGCCTCAAACTCCACTGCTGATGAACAGGAAGAGCTGGAATAGCAGCAGCTAACACAGAAGAGCTCCCTTCCTGGGCAGTAAATGCTGATATTCATATTCCCTCATATTCTCTTCCCTCCACCTGCCAGTATTTAGGAAGAGCAAGCTATTTAGCATAAGCAAAATCCATCAGGATACTCCTGCCATTTTATTGCTGTTGGCAGTCTGCTGTCTTAAACAACAGTTCACTTAGCTGATGCCTGGAGCAAGTCTTCAGAGTAGCACTCTTGGACAGGTAAACCCCCACTTTCCCCTCCAGAGACACCCTACCCTCTGTATGTGGAGCCGGTGGAACTGGTCGGCAATGCACTGCAACTTCCGTGCAATCTGCACCTCAGCACGTGCTTCCCGCTGACCTTCCTGAGGTTCCTCCTGGAGGTGCGGATCCAACACAAAGCCAGCTGGAGGGACATGTAAACGGTAACCAGCACTCCCTACAAAACAGATCAGAAGAGTCATTCTTCCAGTGCAAAGAATATCTTTTCTGCTCAGTACACTTCATGGAGGAAAGAACTGTACATAGTCCTAAAAGTCTAGTTCCTGGAGGCCAAACAATGACTGTATACTGTAACACAGTGCAGTAAAATATTTGCTCAGCTTTCATACAAACTTATATTGATTAAACAGAGGATAGTCAAATGAGTGGCAGGATCTTAAAATTGATTCCTTTTGCTTGTTTACAGCTCAGCCAAGCACTGTAGCTTGGGGTATTTTAAATGACAGTCTTGCAGTTTTGCGGAATCTCTGCCTCAAGTTGTCTCCACTCAAAGGTACAAGTATCTTTTGTGTCAAGTCTTTTCTCAGTTTTCTGTTATTTAGTGATTTTAATTAAAGCTTAATTGGATACACAAAGCTGAGTGTAACCAAAACCCCTCAGTTACTAGTAAAATACTGGATGGACATGCTACTTATTCAACTTTAACTCCAGTGAAGAGCCTAAAAGCTATAACTTTTTTGCGTCTTCTTCTCTCCACTGGAAAATTCTAGGAGTTTCCACTTACTATGTGGATGAGACAGACCATTGGTAGTTAAAAATGTAGGCAAATTGTAGAATATGAAGTACAGTGAACATCTGGACATCTAGCAGTAAAATCAAATGTGATAGAATAAAGCCAAAAAGAGAGAGAGGGAATATTAAAGACAAGCAGAAGCAATGAGCAAGTGTCTGGTTCTTGCAGTGGACAAGCAAGGGTAAGAAAATACAAGTTGTCTTTCTTGAGGGAGTAGGACTAAAGCAAAATAGTTTCAGTCCTTTAATAAAACGCCCTAATGAAAGAGACCTTGCTTGATTGGGGAAATGCTAAAGGGACAGTTTCTTTGCTGCAAAGCTAGTGACACAGGAGTGCTCTTACCATAGAAGAGTCTCCTTGGCTCTTCAGTGACTCCACAAGGCAACATAACATCCTGACTGGAAGAGGATGGGCTGAGTGTTTGAGTTGCCTTGTCCTGCTGCTCAGGATGCCTGATACCGGGACCACAGCAGTGTGTGAGGGGGAATAGTTGAAACCTCCCCAGAAGGCAGCTGTAGGACTGGTTCTGTGTGAAAAAGCCAGTTGCAGTCATCTCACCAGGCTGACCTGCAAGTCCAAAGTCATCAGAGTGAAACACGTCATCGTCCAGCCCATCCAGGCTAGAATAGTCTTCTTCCAGGTAGCTGGGGCGATCCATTGCTCCTGCAATAAAGGGACATTTGAGGAAACAGCTAAGACACAACAAGATTGTTGTCCAGGAGAGAATGCCCTCTGCTCCAACAATAAAATACAACCGATTTTACCAGACCTTCCCTCTTCCCCGCTTCCCAGTGCTGCCCATCTGCATGGACAGGAGAGGTGAGGGACCTGTGGTGAAGGTCAAGGCTTTGCAGAAAGTCCTCAGGGGCTAGGTCAGAGAGAGACAAAGTTCACACGTGTATAAGTCCACCCACAGCTCCAATTCCACACCTGCTCACAAGTAGAGAGCCAACCCCCAACCTCAGCACATAGAAACAGAAAAGATGTTTAAGAAGCAACCCATATTCTTCTAATAGCCTCATGGCCAGTCAGCTTCTTTGGGGGTCTGCTTTGTTTTGGCCTGCCATATTTGAACTTTATGATATATCCCGTTCACTTTTTCCCACCTATTTCTTACTGATGAAGAAAAGCTCTTGTAATCATAAGGCTGCAAGGACAGATTTTTAAGAAACACCAGTGGTTGCAAAACTTAAGAGTTGTCAAAGCCACTTCTGTGAAGCTCTCCATTACTTCTCCCTATGAGGGCCAACTTTCCTTTCAACTTCTCATTTCTCCCCTCAGCTCAACTTAAGACATGTCCCAAACTTGGCAGCATAGTCACTTCCTTATCCGTCTTACCCTCAAGCCTACATGCATTGTTAGTGCAATGGTTCATCCTACTACTAAAGAAAAACATGGCTGGTGCCAGTGTTTAAAGCAGAATTTCTGTAGCTGCCACAGTAAACACTCCTGAGCCCTGTTACAGCACAAAGCTGAACAAAGACGACAGAGGGGAAAAACCCCCATGAACCCTAAATCACTATTTCAGAGCTCTTTGTAAACATAATGCAATTAGAAGCAGTATTACCAAAAAATGCCACAAGTCCCTTTACTGTTACCTGTGCATCTAACCCAATTGGAAGACAGACTCCTAAGAGATCCATCTCCAGGATTTCCACCCAGTTCCAAACAAGGCAGTGAAATTCAACTCTTCATGTCTCTTCCTTTGCTCTGGTTTGCGAAGCATTTAACAGAATGGAAGACTAGCAAGAGGAATTTCAGGCCTGAAGGAGACATTAATAATAATTTTATAAGGATGTGTTCAGTGCTGCCCTTGGTGCTCCCATCTCCCCCCAGGTGAGCAGCATGCAGGACACCAGCATGCTAGAGACAACAGGACCAAGCAGTGCAAGAACTGTTTCTGCAGGGCTCTGGCTTGGGGGGGACTATGGCTATTTAAGTTGCTGCATCTCAGCAGCTCACGCAACTGAGCCACAACTCACAACGAAGTTTCTGCAGAGCAGAACAGGTACCAGCCCCACAGCTGGATGCAGCTCTGCTGGATGACAGCAGTGGCAGAGCACTCATAACATTCTCATCCATGGCTTAATGTAGCACACTGAAAGGAGTTATGGGCCCCAAGAGGCAGGCATGGATGATCTCCTTGCCAGCTCTTCTTCTGGATCAGTCACCTGACTGAGAGGCAGGCAGGAATGTATTTTCTCTTTGCAGGAAAGTTTGCCAGATCTCATCTGTCAGCCTCACTGGGACACGGGCATTCCTCAAAGAAAGTGCAAGAAAGGCACAAACCCCAAATAAAAGCGGGTTTAAAGAGCAAGAAGTTTTACTCGACCTCCTGCAACACGGTCCGACCTTTTTGCAGAGCTTTGCAGAGAATGCCGAGGTAGCGCAAAGGACTGCTCGTCCTACAACTCACTGGAACTCCTCCTACAACCTCCAAACGCAGCTCACGCTGGGAGCCACAGACACCGCACAGCTCGGGCTACGGGTCTTTGCCCGGGCAGCACCCGCGCCTCCAGTGCCGTGTCCTACCCACGGCACTTCCTCGCACAAGCCAGCGGCGACAGCCGCGGGCCGGGGCAGCGCACGCCCGCGCTGACAGGCGGCGGGCCGGGAGCGGAGGGAGGGCTCAGCGCACACGTGCGTGCCAGCGTCTCAAAACAAAGCTGGCCGGCCTCGCTTCGCCGCCGCTGGCCGCCTTTAACTCTTCTCCGCCCGGACTCCAGCCCGCAGATGTGCCCCCGGCCAAGAGGTTTAACGCGGCTCCTCCGGGCAGCGCCGTGGGACGAGACTCCCGAGCTCGGCGGGCTGCCCGGGAGGGGCAGCGCTGGCTGTGGAATCAGCCATCGCCTACATCAGCGAATCGGCTGCTTTCTCAGCGGCCACCGAGCTCACTCCTCGCCCGCACCCTCCCTCTTTCTTCCCGCTCCCCAGCGGGCGCGGGACTCCGGGCAGGACTGGCCGGGCTGGGGCTGCCCCGAGGCGAACCCCCTTCCCTGTCACGATCGCGCCTGGCCTCGGCACCGCCCTCACCGGCGACCTGGCACAGAGCGGCCGGCCCCAGTGGCGAAGGCACTTACCGGGCACCCACCGAGAACGGGACGGGCGTCCCGCGGGGACGGGGCGTCCCGGGAGGAGCCGCCGCCGCTGCCGCCTCCACACCGCCAAACTGCGGCCAGCGCCGGCGGGCGCGCCGCGAACAGCTGACGGCAGCCCCGCCCCCGCCGCGCCCCGCCCCGCCCCCGCCCGGCAGCCAATGGGCGGGGAGGGGCGGGGCCGGCGCGCGGCGGAGGCGGGGCTGCCCAGGTGGGAGCAGCGCGGGCTCGCGCCGGCGCCTCAGCGGGACGCGCCGCGCGCGCCTCGGCCGCGGCTCGGAGTGCTCCCGCAGCCAGCCACGGCTGAGCCGCAGCCCCTGGGCTGGCCTTAGGTCCGGTGGGAGTGCCTCTCCGGGTAGTTGGTTTCCAACAAAACTTTGGTTTTTCAGCTTTAAATGACTTAGAAAGTTCTTCCTGACTTGTAAAGTCTGAACGACGAGGTGTGATGGTCGAGGAGTTCTTCGCAGTGTGTTGTGCTCTTTCCTGTAGATGAGAACGACTACAGGACTACACAGGGTTAAAGAATTAAACTAATAAGGATAATTTCTTTATAGTGCTTGCTGTGGAGCCCCTTCGATGAGATTAGGATAAAAACCCCAAGCCTCATGCTGCAAAAAACAGCTCGGTGCATTTACCTTTACTCCGCCAATGATTTATCAGCTCCCCCTGTAATCAGTGGCAAAAATCTCACCATGTTAAGAGAGGCAGGACCCAGCTCCTTGGCGCAGAGCAGCACCCTGTCAGGCTGTTTTTAAAACCCTACGTAACAAGATCGCTTGGAAGGGAGGTTTTAAAACCCAGCTGGCAGCTGAGTAATGTTAATTGCTGTCAAGTCTGCCACACAGTTACTGAGGTTTGTAACTTAAACTCAGGGGAGGGGTTAGATTGCAAACCGATGGCTGGCAAGGTGAGGCGAATTACTACGTTTTCCTCGTATCACATTGTCCTGGGCAGGCTCACAGAGCCTCTCCAGTTAAAAGTTTCAGAGTCACTATGATTTTGAGTGAGGTATTTACAGTTGCCATTAATAGATTAACCAGCTAATAATGTTCATTGTCTCCAAGAACCCATTTCTTTGTGGTTCTTGTCCAAGTGTTCATTTCAACTCTTTTATTTGCCAGAAGGCTTGAGTCTCCTTATTTACAAGAAGGTCAGATCATATTTGACTTGTACGTCACCACCAAGTAAAAGAGAAAAAAATATCTTTCCTTTAATTTTCAGTAAGGGGCAAGGTTCCTAAATTAATTAAGCCTTTTTGTTCACTTTTGATAGTCAAGGGAGTTGTGAGTAGGAGAAGAAATTGATATTTAAAAAACCAAAAGGCAACAAAAGGCATTTTATATCTTTGAGATAGTCAAATTTTATCACACTGATGGTCAAACCCTGGCCAAATGCCAGCTGCTGGAGGGCTACTGCTAATTTGAATGTGCATCACTATAAATAAAAAATTAATGTGCTATGATTCCAACCACTTATGTCTTCCAGACTGAGTAATAACTGCCTGCTGGTTAGGCTCATTAACAGTAAGAACAGTACCTGATCGGCTTTGTTTTCATCTCATTGTACTGCAGTTGGGGCCACACTTTATATCCCCAGAGGCTGCATTTTGGGAACTCCTACTGTGTAGAAAATGTATGGAAACTGAAATCTATGTATATAATCAGGCTGGATGGTAAGAGGGCTCAGGAAGGATATTTGTGCCTTTCAGTGATTAAAAAAAAGATATGGCAGCATTTCTAAGAAAGGGGACTCAGAGGGATTCCTTGAGGAAATTAGACATTGTTAAGAAATGGCTCCGAGTAAATAGACCGAAACCAAGACAGAGACAGCAAGTCTGAAATGGAAAATTGTGAACCAGGGGCAAGTTATACCACCAACCTCACTGCACTCAACTGAGAGAGTTTCTACAATAGTATGGAGACAAGCTTCTTACCTGGGAACAGGAGCCCAAGGGACAAGTTTTCTGCCAGAGAGTTTTTGCTCATTAGTGTACATGGTGACATTTTGATTCAAGAGATTAATCTTAAATCACGTGCAGCAGTGTCCCTGTGACATCTGTGGATGGAAATACTGTGCCATCCTATAACCCTTCTGTCAGCCTGCTCTACTTCTCAAAAGAATAGTGGACAAAATTGCTTCTTTTATTTAGTTATCCCCCTCCCTACATATTCCTCACATGTCTTCACAACTATTTCTCATTTTACTGACAAAATGCTATTGTCAGCATTGTGCTGTAATTGCAGAGTACATTGTGATCTTAGGCACGGGCCTTGCAAGCTGCTCTGCCTGGGTGGGCTCCAAACCCACACAGGGCCAGCTTGACTTTGGTGGGGGTAGCCTTGTCTGATGAGCTCAGTTTTCATTTCTATTTTTCTATTATTGTAGCTCTCATGGTTGGAATAGGGAAATTAAGGGTAGTCTCATGGATCATAAAGCAAAGGATGAACAAGAAAAACATTCAGGGTTGATTCTATTTATTTTGTTATCTTAAAAACATTTGGTCAATGGGGTGACTTTTCAGGGGGCTCAATCTGAGTGTAGAAGAGTGGAAAACAGTGTCTTCTGCCCTGACACATATCAGTGGCTTTACTAAATGTGTTCTGCTATGCTTTATTGTTGTGTGAAGCAGTAAAAAAGTCTTGAATTTCATGTTGGACTATCCCTGTGTATTTTTCTCATAAGCCAGACTCTTGGAGAAAGCTGGCCTGCATCCTGATGGAAGGGCTCACTGTGTTCAGCACCCAGTGCTGGTAGGAGAAAGTTCTGCACATTTCAATCAGTGTGTGTGAGAACAGGATCTCTTGCTGTCTATAAATGAAAGTGAGATGATATTGCTGTTGGGGTTTTCTTCTGAAGGGAGCAAATTTTGAAGCAGCATGCCAAGGTTACTCCTTCTTGCTTTTCTGAAACCAAAACTGATGCACACTTTTTCTCCCCAGATAATGTCATTGGATTGGGAAAATGCTTCACCCTCTCTTGGGGTGCTCTGCTTGACTCCTACTGCAAAAACTGAAGACAGGAGTTTGCATTTTCCATACAGCCTTTCTACAGCCAACCCTGCAAATTCAGCCATGCCTTAGAGACAGTGGGCTGAGGGAAACACTGACATCCAGGCTTGAGGTATCTGCGTTTCTGTGTGCTACTGAACATGCTCTTGTATTCTGGGGTCAGCCTGAATTTCCTTTTCTCTTTTCTCTTTTCTCTTTTCTCTTTTCTCTTTTCTCTTTTCTCTTTTCTCTTTTCTCTTTTCTCTTTTCTCTTTTCTCTTTTCTCTTT